TTACAGTAATTCGTGATAGACGATAGCTCTCAGACAGCCTCAGACGCCAGTTGAAGGTTGAAGTCATTTTTGTGAAGCACTTCTAAGGGGATGCTTATATATCCTTTTAAAAATACAGGTTAGGGATCGGTCTACCATAACCCATTACGAAGTCCTTCCGAGCGGTCCTACGAAAAAAGGGACGAAGGCCGATCAAAACTTTTTACTCAACCTAATAGTTTTATGGGTAAGACTTTCTTCACGATCTTCACCAAGGTAATGTGAGGTAAATGATGAGAAAATTTGTAAATGCATTTCATTAGCCTCCTTGCCTTTGTCGATTCTTCCTCTTGACTGTCAATGGTGGAGAGTAAAGATGTCTTGGGAGCAACACACTCTGAAATGGATTCGATTAAAGCTCATTCCAAGGAAGAAAAACGTAGTTAGTGCTCTCCCACTTCTTAAAAAACATTATCTTTCTCACCTCTTTCAAGCTCTCGTTACTGCTCATTTCACCCTGAGCACAGAAGATGAGGATGTGCGGGAAGGCCAGAGCCAGAAGGAGAATATGGAGGTGGTGCGGGAAGGCCAGAACAAGAAGGGATACTGAAGGACGATGTAATCGGCTTTTTTGTCGGAAGTCCGATTCCTTTGTGATACGTTATGCATTTAGATTTGTTCTGGAATATCATGCATATTTGAAAGGTGAATATACCATTCACCTAGAAAACTCGTGGATTGAATGGTATGTATAAGTGGAAGCAGAGGCAGGGCAGCATCAAGCGGGTACATTTCTTCGCACACGGTTCGAGGATCAGATCCGATGGTGATCACTACTCGGATAGACCGATCCGAAAATTTTTCAGGGTCCTCCAACTGACTGTATTCGTCTGGGAGGATGAAAACACTGTCCCGAACATCAGCTCTACATTCGTCTCTACAAGTTAAAAACAGGTACGCATATCGGGCTATTACACTAAAAAGTCAAATGCATGGCGGATCCCGAGAAAAGATTGATCGATGAACAGGTATGTCGTAGCTTTCAGAAAGGAAACCAAAAAAACACGTGATGGTTTCTTTTGGCCTTTCACGACAAGTTTCCCAGTAGTGTTAAATAAAATTCGGAAGAACAAGACCTTTGTTGTTGAAGGTTTCCATTTGAGATGCGCCCTGCATCCGACTTCTATTCCAAATCGTTGTGGCATCCGGATAGCATCCCGTGATCAGCCAGACCTCATTGTGTAGCTTTCCCGATGCCACGACCATTTGAGTGCTTTTATTCTCTCAAATGGTTCTGGCCCTACGCTACCTCCGCTCAACAGATGACTATTGATAGGGACTGTTTCAGGAAATAAACCCGGATAATAATCTTGGACCCTGATCGACGTAGAATAATTTTATTAAAATTAGTATTGTATCGTAATATTCTGTTGACATATTGTTGTTTACTCTTTTCTTTGTAGGGAGAAGCGATACCGTCAATTCAGAGGGAGCGAAGATTTGTCGTTTTCCAACTAGCAAAAATGTGCCAACCGATCGCCAGCTATCTCTTCCTCCGTCGATGCACTTTCGCTATCGATATCGTCGGATCTGCAATGTGAGTTGATTGAGTCGACGATCTCAGTAAATACAATGAGGGTGCGGTCTCAGTGGAATTTTCTGCAATTCACGTACCGTACTGAAAAAAAGTAGAGCTTATTGAGTTTCTAAACAAACGCGAACACTTACAGACCAACTGAGCTGCAGGTATCAGTTCGGACAGGTTCAGAGTTACCCATGCTGTTGACTGAGTATATATTACGTCATTAATAAGAGAAAAGACAAACAATTATTCATAGACCAACCTCCTACTTTCCCTCTCGAATAAGTCGAATTCTCTTTCCTGCAGATTGGATAGGCTAGGTAGGGCCGGGGAAGCCAGAAATCTGGCATCAGTTGGCGCAACCAATAGTTATTCCGAAGGGCATGGAATATTAAGGCCGCTCCTGCTAATAAACCGACTTCTCGGAGCGATCAGAGATCGCCATCGGTTTTGTCAATTCCCAGAGAGCTTTGCACTGAGAACCTAGAGTCACTACCATACCAGATCACGGCTCATTCCAGGTCCTACCATAAATTTTACCGCTGGAGTTTAATACAAAATTCATGAAGCGTTATTCACAGCTGTAGCCCAAGAGGATTTGAAAAATGAGGGGAAATCGATTGAGGTTAATAAGCCTTTCATACGTACAAGGTAAGGGGGTATCGAGATTGTCTTTCTGGCAGGGAAGATGGCCTACAAGTGGGTTGACGTACCCACCTAACAGTCAGAATTATGAAAGAGAACATATCAGGTCTACCGGAAATTCCTCTGGAGGAATGAAAGGCTTAGTTGGTCTGGGCTGGTATTGACCCGGGATCCGATCCCTGGACCATGCTAGTGTTATACATTTGCACCGCTTGCGACCACGCTACCTACCCTTAATAATAAGTTCACTCAAATACTACAACTGGCATTTTCATTAATACTAACGGGAGGGCAGTTTGCACATTCATATTGAGAAATAATTTTTAAAGCACGAAACTTTGAGACAGTATTTTATATCTTCATTTTTTAATTTTTCGCCTTTCAACTTTGTAAAATCAAAAACGAGGGACAGTCCGAGAATGCTAACAGTAAGTGCTGGGAATAAGGTAGCTGGAGCAGAAGTTCCTTTACGATTCCCGCGATTTTTCGACCGGTCCCCAAAGCAGTATATTGCCCAACGTTATCGCAATGCAGCATGATGTCCTTCCTATTCAGCATCGCCAAAACAACATAAATCTATGTCGTTTTTGGTAATATGTTATACCAATATGTATACATTAGGCTATAAAAATAAAGGGCCGGCCATGCACCGAATAAAAATGTGCTTACGTATCGAAAAATAAACGAGAAATGCCTGCTTTCTTCGAAACGATCCGAACTTTTCGGTAGATTCAATGAGTATAATCAGTACAGGTCTAGATGGAACGATGAGATCATCACACGGTGAAGAATCCAGATAGCAATACTGGATAAAACACACCTACTCTTCCGAATTCTATTTAAAGAAAAACTATAAGTAGAGGTATGGGGAGGTGGTATGTCCACAGGAGAATTTTCCAGTTTAAGGAGTATATCATCAAGCAGTTTAGCTTTAGAGATCAGGGAACAAAATCAGGAAGGTTCCGTTCTGAGCTCTTTCCTCCCTACACCACCCTCAAAACGACACGCTTTCCCTCCACTCCAGCCTATTCCCCCTCATCAACTTAGTCATGAAAAAATGATGATCCTTGGTCCCCCATGAAGTAAGTGAGTTTCATAAGCATACACATCACCTACATGATAAACTCTCTGCGACGGGTACCCGAGTAATGTCAATTTGTTAGGACGCGATACTGGAGTATTGAGACACTGAAGCATGCCTACATATTTCTTGGTTGATGATTCAACAGACGTCGATGGTGTCACTGCTCGGGAACTATCCCTGAAGACTCTGAAAACTTAATTTTGCTGGATCGTTTGCCTATGGAATTACTACCTTACTATTGCCATACTACTAAAGTGGTGCAAAGAATAGCATACCTATACGAAATTGTGAGCTGTTCGGATACGTGGCGCATTCCTTGGGAACTAGGTTTATACTAGAGCTGTCCTCGTCGTTCTCTCTTCTTATATTGTTCGTCTTTCTTTCAGAAGAAGTATACATGGCAAAGTTTTGTGGCAATTTTGCATGGTAAAGATGAATGAATGAAGTGCCCAGTCAGTTTGAAGTGGGCGTAGTTGTGCTGTCTTTTGTTGATGGTAGCGTGAAAAACTGGCTGATCCTCAAGATCAACATCAAAGTATGATTTCGTTCTTTTCTCCAGAGAGGAGCGTATAGACGATGAATGAGTAATGTGCTTTGAGTATGCACTTTCATCTCTCAATCCTGTCATAGTTGCTGCTTTTCTAGAAAAAAAAAAGAAAAAAGAAACCATGAGCGTCGGTCGCGTCGTCGGGCGTCGTCGTCGTCGTGGACAGTCGTCTGTTTGACAGAAAACTGTCTGTTTTTCTTTGGTTTTTCTTGAACATTCCACCTGTCTGTGTCTGTATAAATATCTGAGAAACGCCATGGCTAGGTAGTCATCTAAGCGTCTCTGTACTTACAGCACTCATTACAAAAACCAAAACACTCATTCATCGAGTGTTAGCGAAACTGTGCAATGCTAGGCTCAGTTGTTGCAGTTCTTTCCACCACTCCTATCCTATTGTATTTTATCAACTCGTACAACTACCTACTCGAAAGTTTTACTATACGAACCAGCCAGACAGTCACTGTGCGTATTTCCCGCTCACTTGACTGGTAATTCTCCTTTGCTGTAATGTCTACCGCTGGGTAATCCGCTGACTTATGACCGTCGTTTTAGTAAAGTATATCGCATTCCATTTAAGTAAAAGAAAGACTGTTCTTTGAGATTCTAGGGCCCAGCACCAGGCGAGTGCCTTTTGTGATTTCAAGTACAAGTCAGCGGCGCGGCGCATTCCTAAATGGATATCATTTTTGTTCGTAATTTTTTGTTGAACTATTCTGGGTCCCAACACCACTACCAGTACCAATTATCAGTAAACCACTCCTTCACCTTCGAAAATCACTTCGAGACTTCTTTGAAGACCACCACTTTCACTTTCAGACAAGGATGGCCCCGGTTGAATTGCCTTTTGGTGGATGCAGAACCTTTTTGAATTGGACTTACTTTAAGGCAAGGGCGAATAAGCTAAGAGGGATTTCCATAGTGTTTGGACTAATTCGGAAAGATAATTTTATTTTTTGAAGGCACTTCTCGCGATCAAAAAATGCGCACAGATATGGTCTATAAGTGCGCTTTCACATGGATCCTTTTTTGGCTGATAACAGTTTAAATGAAAGTAGGAATCACCTCGAATCCTTTGTCGCCACCATACGTCCACCCTCCGCCCTTACTCTTCTTGGAAAATGTCTCTGAAGGTTACTACTCAAATCGAATCAGGATTACGAGGTAGTTGTCGAAGGGTCTCTGAGATAGTATTATGTAGTTCTAGTAGTGTATAGTACTCGATATAGTGTAGAGTAGTACAATAGCGAAGTAACAAAATCGTTTCAGGGATCGAATTTCAGGGAGAGCAAAAAGAGGAGACTGTCTGTCCGCAACCCTTTTTTGTCTAGTTGGCTGGAACTGATCAGTCCGAAAAGCGATACCTATGAGTAACGGTCCTTCAAGTTCTCACCCACTAGTGATAGCCTTGATGGAAATGGTTAAGGTGAAAAAATTGAGAGACCATTACTCCTAGGTGGAGATATCCGAAACTTTCGACCTACTTNTTTTGAGCATGAAATTTTCGAAATTCTTTTGCCGAGTTCGATTGCAACTTATTGTTTGAGGTAATTGAGGAGACTAACGATATTCATGGATCGTTTCAGATATGACTACGAGATTGTCGATTGCTGCAGTTTTACTGCTTTCCCTAATCGCGACAGTAGTCGCCTCCGAATCATTCAAGGAACGGTCTTTGGTCCGTCAAAAACGACAGTTCTCTCTAGCCCTATATCTTTGTGGCTCATTCCCAAATCAATTTACTTCGTACTTTCGTGAGTTCTCGATTTATTATCTTCAGAATGTCAAAAAAGCAGAGAAAAAACTGTCCAAAGTTTTTGCTAAGGAATTTTGATTGATACAGTATATGTACATGGACTTCTAAGAACTATCTGCTTTTCGAAGGGACATTTCACGGCAATTTTGAAAAATCTAGCTTTAGTGGGATTTTGGAATTCATAATGCAGAAAAATCCAAAAAAGATCGGGAGGTATATAAGGCTTCCGAAAAGTAGCAAGTAAAGGCCTGTCCATATTGCGTTTCTAACCGTGTGGGTGTCTCCTCTATAGGCTTACTATTCGTCAGCGTTCATTGTGAGTGAATTAGCAAGGTCATCATAACACGGCCACTTTTGGGTTGTACGTCGGCTAGGCCGGCTTAGAAGCCTTATTCCGCAATGATAAAGTCGTTTTTTTGACCCCATAATGTCCTTGGAGCCACAGGCTTATCCTAAGGAGATCAGAAACCATTTTCTTTGTGAACTGTACCTTTATCAAAACTCTGAGAACCATTCTGTGTAGTAAACACTCAACCATCTGATGTAATCCAAGACTTATGTTTTAATGTAGTTTTGATTTTTCAGCAATATACCAGTTATTCATTGGATATTATCACTTGATTTCTTTTCAGCATGTGGCCCATGCTATATGAACTGCGTTACTTCAACGTTCTCTTATCAAGCATTATCACCACTTGTCTATTCATATGGTTATCCTTCGATCATGGGTGGTTACGGTGGTTTCGGTGGTGGTTTCTCGCCACTGTTTCCAGGAGCGACGCAAGCACAGCGATGCATCGGTTTGTTGATGATCATTTCGAGATTTCTTTTAGGCCCTGCTAATGCGGTTATGCCAGGAATCCATTAGACCGACCAAGGTAGTTAGGATTAACTAGATCTGGCCACAGATTCTTAAATTCTAAGGTTACTGTGTGAGACCGAAGACGAGGTACTCATGACCTTACTGAAAACAGTTCGGGCTAGGAATAACTCTCACGCCAAGTATGAACCCTTTAGCTTCCGAAAGGAGCGACTGAATGAATCACCGAATAAAATGGGTTAGATTTTGAGTTAACAACCCTGAAGGAGCTAACGGGACCATCTCGAGAACAATCCCACGCCGCAGAAAGGGCAACCGCCAAAGCAAACAAGGCACATTTCGCAACTCACTGATTCCGTGATACAGTAATCACATACAGTGATTCAGTTTTCCCGATAGAAAAAGAGATCTATAGGTTTTTCCTCTTAACTGAAGTGATTTTAGGTCCGTGCGTGAATGGACAGTGCCCAGATGGGTATGCCTGTAATGCGAATAATGTCTGCTGTGCGATATGAATGAAGAAATAGAAAGATATTAATTTCTAGATATCGAATAATATCTCTTTCAAATATTGTTCTGTTGTATGTGATATATTGCACTGTCATTTTAGTCTGTGGTATCATTATGATAGCATTTGAAGAGCTTTATTAAATTACTTCTGTTGTTATTTCACGACGATCTGTTTACTCAATGGAAAAATATCTGATCCCATTCGCTTGATGTTTTCTCTGAGTTCCAGACTGCATCTATGTTTGTAGAGTTTGGAAGAAAAACGCGGAATTCGCTCGACAGATCAGTTAAAGACCGAAGTGGTTGAAGTTTTCTTTTTTGTATGGCATGGTTCACTCGGGAGTAATCTTATATAAGTAACGGCTGAGGGATGTACTGGGGACTGGTGAGCCAAATCAATTGGGGAATGCACTGAACACAGTGGGTCATTCATAGAGTGGGTCCGGTCTGTAGTTCCGGTGGTACTCTATTCCGTTCCGCAGACGGAAGGTTGACCAATGTATGTGCTCAATAATTCTCCCAATTTTTTTTTCCTGAGTGTCTCCGGATATCTGAGCGGTACAGACGCCTCAATAAGACCTACGGAAGCTATCACCCGATGCTCAAAATATCAGAATACGAAAAGAACACCAAGAAAAGAACATCAAGATACATCAGGTTGTGGTGTGAGCATGAGAAGCTGGCTCTTAACCTAGTAAGTTCCGGTCCAATTTTTGGGTGGAGGTTCTGATAGAATGCCCGCAATCACACAGTTACAACTGCTTAAAGCACAATGCGTAAAAATTTATCAAAATCAATGTATAGGTTTCCAAAAAAGCTTCACTGACAGTGTTTCGTCAAGAGGCTTGATCAGTGGAGAACCATTCTCATCGACATATCGTGTGAAAGGCACCTCCTTGAGAACCTGAAAGATTTTGATTACAGTAATCTCTGTCACTGTGATTCAGTAAAATTCCTACAGCCGCGTTGATATGGGTGATACCCTCTCTGCTCAGGGCAAATCCTTGGAGAAGTTAGTTCCCACCAGAAATACCGGAATTCAAGCCTAAGCAAAAGTGGCCTCACTTATCGGCTGCCGGAGAGGCACGTGGTTCATTCATTATTTCATCTTTCACTCATTTTCATAAATTTTTCAACTCCGAAAGGGCTACATTTTGGAGCAGCCGTCGTCAGCCGCTGAGTATGACCGCGTGTAGTGATTCGCTTAATCTTACATATGTTAATCATGAAGCACAAATTCTGTCATGTATGGTAACTTTCCTCAGCAGTCCATCAATTAGGGGGCTCCCCCAAATTAGGTCCTATTCTGTCGACGGAGTGGTATAATACCAGTACAGAAGGAATTTTCTATCTCCTTCCATCTACCCACATCAATCGCATTCCTAATTCTGGTTCCTTTCCTCCCATCCTTTCGGATACCCCCAGGTTCTTTTTGCTTTTGCTGAGAAGCTTGACCAAGAACAGTACGGAACCAACAGAGAATAATAGCGTGGCCGAACGCTAATTTGATTGAATACGGTGACTTGCCAATCCACTGATCTGCTCGCTTCGGTCAATTTGTTTGTTTTTGTGCTTATTTTTTTCGCCTCAACGTTCCTGATGCATTATTTTTTAGATTGCTACATTAGTATTACATGACCAATCTTTTTTGTGAAAACTTGGTGCATCTTTTTATTGGTGGGTATACTACCGAAGTAAACATCGACTCTTTATTGTATTTCGGTACATTAATCTCGTCGCCATACCTATTTTGAAAAAGCTGATTCCAAGTCTTTACCGACAACTATCAAAATGAACAAAAACAAAAATTCAACATGACTCTGAAATGCTAATTTGATTGCTCATGTTTAAAGTCGGTAACTAATCAATGATGTAACATCAGACCTTAGAATGAGAAAAGTCGTTCATTCATGGCTTTGCTGAAAGTTCTATCTGTTGTTTTTGACTAGTATAAAGCAATAGCATTGTGCTCTAGTGCAGTGAGTCCTTTTCCGAATTTCCATGTCCCTTATTGGTTTTAGGGTAACTACAGACAACCTTTCTCATTCTATGACATGACGTTATTTGAGTAGTTGTTTTCGATCGAGTACTAACGATAAAAACGAAATTCAATCAATTTCAAGAAAAAGTTTAGATCTTAGAAGTTTGGAAAAGTTGTCAACTCTGCGGATTGGCTCGTTTACCATAGTTGCCTTAGGTTTAGATAGCTGTCATGAAAGGTTTGGTCCCAAGTTTTTCGAACCCAGATTTCAAAGGCAAGTGCGCATGAGATAAAATAGCGGTCATATTTCAATATAATTGAATCACTAGATACTTCAGCAGTAGTAAAAAAGAGCAAAGCAAAATAAAGGTGATTATCGAAGAACAGTCAGAAATAACGAACGGGAACGTGCACAACTCAATTAGGAGCTCTTCAGAATCGAGAACCACAAGCGGCGACTAGTTATACAAAGTTTAAGTGAGATTGTGTTGGATAAGGCTACTGCAGAAAAGCTCGGCACAGGTTTTTTGGAGTAGATTTGTTAATAGGAATTCTTTTGTTTTTATTTTTCGTACAATGAATAGTTGGCATATGAAATTGTTACTATTTACTTTGCTTGCCTTAATTTTTTACGTTTCTTTTACGTTTCTTTGCGTCAAAAACAACTAAGAGGGCCATGATATTGTAAGATTTAATGCAATTTTTTCAGACTTGATAAGTATCAGCATCGACTGCTATCATAGAATTTGAGCTCAATAAAATTATCCCAGAAAGGCTGACAAGTTTCTCGGAGTAGGTTTGTCAAGAAGAATTCTTTCATTTTTGTTTTTCTGTAGTATGATCATTATTGTTCCTTTGCTTGCTTTGAAGGACTTTCTCGAAGGAGTCTTACAAAATTTTTGTAAGTCGCAAACGCCAAGAAATTTATTACCTTGTGTCCTTGCTTTTGTAATAGTGTTTGATTGGCATATGATGTTGCTTGAGTGATTATTCCTTGAATGTTATTTTCCTGAAAATAAGTTAATCGGTAAGTTGTCATTAAAATGAGGTTACACTAAGTGTGGCGGATAACTTCGCATTTGCAGAAAACTTGCACTCTTTTTTATTATTGTGAGCGAGAAGGATTAGTAAAGTCTTGCACCCGTTTTTATAGTTAGCGTGATTTCGAGCGGGTGTTTTCTCGTTTTCTAAACTCTCATTTACAAACCAGCTTTCAACGATACACTGCTCGCAACATCTTTTTCTATGTATCAAGTGGCTCACTAGCGATTGGGCAAAGTGAACGAACCCTCTTTTTTGCGGACAACTGAAAAAGTTCCTAAATAATTACCGTAAGGAATCACCTTGAGCAGTTGTGGTGATTGGCATTTTTCCAGCATTTTTCGTGCAATACCTCGCCGTTGAAATTGTTTTCCAACGCTGATTATATCCCTGAAAATAATGTTTTCCTGCAGGGTGAAAATGTTGGAGAGTTGGAAGGACTTACAACTCGAGGACTGTGTTTATTTGTGGCTCGAGTAGTTGCCATATGCTGTTATGACAATCACTGCATATCGAAGCTATAAAAATCACTTGAGACTGTGTCTCCTGAGAAGGTACTATCGTTTAGGTACTATATTGTTGTGCTTGTAGTCAAAGACGAAAACAACAAAATGTTGGCAAATGCGGTTGGGACAATTAGGCCCAAAAATGCACACATGGGGGCAAATGGGCATGGGTGGAGTAAATCCCGATGAGATTTGCGAATCCGGTCTCGCTTGTTCATTGCTGGTATTCCACCGAAACCAACGTCAGTACAAATGTTTTGTTCTTGGGAATCAACCTTTATTTTCAGTCGAAATATCTGTTGTCCTATTGTTGGCTCAATTGGTCTCAGTCAGTTCATGACAGCTAGGATCTCTCACGAGCACTTTGAAAAGCAAACTGGCCATTTATGGGTTAGGATTTCTTGACTTCGGTTACGAGTTGTAGATGTTCGTCGCATATTCGCTATTAGGTTTCGGAAAGCCATCTGCTCAACCAAATTTACGAAAATGGCAACAACTTCATGCCCTTTGTTCAACAATGTGTATCGAAAGCCGAAGGAAACGTCATACCGGCTACCGATTTACGCGATTTCGTCGCGTCGCGTATCGCTCGTCTCGCGCGTGACGTGAACTCCGCCTTCCCGGAGAACGTCCGTTGCACGCGTCCGTCGAAGGTAGGTCACCCTGCCCACTCCGCGCGCGGCGCACCCCAACTGAGGTCTTGACATGACATTACAGTACCACCAAGTTACAGTGGAGCGAATGATTTGCATTTGTCCATGTTATCCTCCCTTTGGCTGTCTGCTGTGGACCACGCGCAAACGTATGCCCCACAGACAACTGCGACGTTTGTCAAAGATCGCGGGCTGACGCGTCGCATGCGACAGCTGCGGCGTGACGTAGTTTTAACGGACGCGCGCAACGAAGCGCACCCCTGCTTCCCCTGTAATAACTGGCCGGTATATCTACGCGCTACGGATCTCCTTCACTGAGGGTTCTCTCTCACT